AAATATTGTGGATAAAGGTTATGAATATTTACATACCAAAAAAACAATAAGAAATTTGTTTGGGAAAACATATATAGCCAAATTTATATGAAAATCTTATCAGATTTCATTAGGTTTCATTTAAGTTACTTTAATTGCTGATGTAAAAACAAGACATAGAAATTATTTTAACAAGATCAATGAGGTTTTTATTTCTTAGGTCTCTTTAAAATTTTATTTCATAATTTTAAACATTTTGACTTCTCAATACATGATAGAATTTAGTTTAAGATGGTTCTTTTGTCACTGTGGTCATATTATACAATAAAATATGTAAATTTTAGTGATATTTAAATATGTGACTTTAGGTATATATTACATAATAACTAGTAATAGTTGTGATAACCCAAACAAAATAACATCATTATTCTTTACTATACAACAAGAATGTATTTTCTGAAATATTGTCTATGAGTCTGTGTTGTCCATCTTTAAGCAGCTCTCTCATAGTTGAAAAACAAAACATACAAATTTTTATTTGGATATATTTGACATTGTGCCACATTTCAGCTTTATTTGAAGTATCTATAATCCTTGGAGAGTTTCATAATATGCTTAAGGCTAAAGTATGAAAATGGAAAAATCTTCCATGTTCATGGATTGGAAAAATCAATATCATCAAAATGTCCATACTACCAAAAGCAATTTATATATTCAGTATAATCCCAATTAAAATACCAATGAAATTCTTCTCAGAGCTAAAAAAAATGATGCTAAAATTCATATGGAAACACAAGGCACCCCAAATAGCTAAAGAAATCTTATACAACACAAAGCTGGAGGCATCATAATACCAGGTTTTAAGCATATTCCAGGGCAATTATAATCAAAACAGCCTGGTACTGGCACAAAAACAGAACTGTAGACCAATGGAACACATCAAAATAATCCAGAAATCCATCCATACAACTACAGTGAACTTATCTTTGGCAAAAGCAATCACTGGAGCAAGGACAGTCTTCAACAAATAGTGATGAGAAAATTGAATCTTCACATTTAGAAGTATGAAACAAGACCCCTACCTTACACATTGATAAAAATGTAATCAAAATGGATCAAGGACCTAAATCTACAACTTGATGCAATCAAATTATTAGAGAACATTGGAGAAATAATGACATTGACACAGGCAAAGACTTCTTGGAAAAGACCCCAGAAGCACAGGCAATAAAAGCCAAAGTTCACAAATGGGATTACATCAAGCTCTGAAACTTCTGCACTTCAAAGGAAACACTCAGCAAAGTTAAGAGGAAACTGACAGATTCATAGAAAATATTTACAAAGTATGAATCTGATAAAGGGGGCTGGCGCTGTGGCGTAGCGGGTAAAACCGCCGCCTGCAGTGCTGGCATCCCATATGGGTGCTGGTGGTTCGAGTCTCAGCTGCTTCATTTCCAATCCAGCTCTCTGCTATGGCCTGGGAAAACAGTAAAAGATGGCCCGGGTCCTTGGGCCCATGCATCTGTGTGGGAGACCCAGAAGCTCCTGGCTCCTGGCTTCAGATAGGCACAGCTCTGGATGTTGCAGCCAGCTGGGGAGTGAACCAGCAAATGGAAGACCTCTCTCTCTCTCTGCCTCTCCATCTTTCTCTGTGTAACTCTGACTTTCAAGTAAATAAATAAATCTTTAAAAAAAAGGAACTGATAAAGGATTAATATCCAGAATCGATAATAAGCTCAAGAAACTCAACAAAACAAATAATCCAGTTAAGAAATGGGCAAAGGAAAGGAACAGACATATTTCAAGAGAGGAAATTCGAATAGCCAACTGACACAAGAAAAAATGCTCAAGATTACTAGCCACCAGGGAAATGCAAATCAAAACCACAATGAGGTTTCACCTCATTCTATTTAGAATAGCTCTCATGCAGAAATCAACAAACAATAAAAACTGGTCGAGGAAAAGTACGCCAACCCACTATTGGTGGGAATGTAAGCTGGTGCAGCCACTGCAGAAGACAGTATGGAGATACCGCAGAAAGCTGAAAATAGATATATCATATTACACAGCCATTCCATTTCTGGTAATTCACCCAAACCAAGAAATTGGCATATGAGAGAATGATCTGTACCCCGTGTTTATTGCAGCTCAATTCACAATAGCTAAGATATGGAATCATCACAGATGTCCATCAGTTGAAGACTGGATAAAGAAATTATGGTATATGTACACTATAGAATACTACACAGTGGGAAAAATGAAACCTTTCATTTGCAGCAAAATGGAAGCAACTGGAAACCATTATATTTAGTGACATAAGCTAGTCGCAAAAAGACAAATATCATATATTCTCCATGATCTGTGGTGCCTACTAGAGTACCTAAAAGGGAATCTATAGGCATGAAACTGACACTTTGAGGTGTGATTATTTTTAACAGTGCTTTGTTTTGACTTCGTACTGTTTGTTAAACTCTTTTCTTAGTGTAGGGGTGATCTTATGACTGTAAAGTTAACTGAAAATAGATCATTGTTTAAAAATTACAATGAGAATAGGAGAGTGGGGAGGAAGGGTGGGAGCATGGGGGGGGGAGTTTAGGCTGGGAAGTATCACTATGTTCCTTTTTTTTTTTTTTTTTTTGACAGGCAGAGTTAGAGAGAGAGAAAGAGAGAGAGAAATGTCTTGCTTCCATTGGTCCACTCCCCAAATGGCCACCACAGCCAACGCTGCACCGATCCGAAGCCAGGAGCCAGGTGCTTTTTCCTGGTCACCCACATGAGTGCAGGAGCCCAAGCACTTGGGCCATCCTCCACTGCCCTCCCAGGCCACAGCAGAGAACTGGACTGGAAGAGGAGCAACCGGGACTACAACCCGGCACCCATATGGGATGCCGGTGCCACAGGCAGAGGATTAACCAAGTGAGCAATGGTGCCAGCTGCACTACATTCCTTTGACTGTGTATATGAAATACATGATATTTGTATACCTCAAATAAAATTTTTTAAAAAGACAATGTATGTAGATGAACAACTGTAATTCTGGGGGACCAGGATTTGTGAAGTGTGCTGGAATGAGAAGGCCATGTCAAGATGGCCACTGGCAAGCGAGTGTCAGTTACTCAGGAATGGCTTTGAAACCCACCTGGCAATGGAGCCTGCCTGGCAACAGGCTGCGATTGGATGGCTTTGGAAACTGCCTGGCAACAGGCTGTGATTGGTTGGGGCATAGACCGCCCCTTGACCGGATTGGCTGGTCTTGGCTATGCAAGATGTTGTACCAACTGAAATAAATGAGTTTGCGGGCTGCTTGCCTCAAGCCTGCTTTCACCGGACTCCTGGGATCTGTGTGGTGACTCCGTGCCTCTTGCCCCCACCACGCTCATTCTCTCAGAAACGAATCCACTGCAACATTGTTGAGAAATCAACTGCAAAATCTGATGAGCCAATGTGACTGAGAGAGAGATAGTGTGTCGGACTCGGCAAGGTCCCCCCTGGATTTCGGCAAGAAGGCCCCTCGGTATTTTCTGTGCTGTTCGGTTCTGTGAGGGTAGTACAGAACCCCCTCCTACACCCCTTTCCTTGTCCTTGTCCTTGGTCTAAGTGACCCCAGGTTAGGCACACACCGCCCAGAGAGTACATCACTTCTCGGTTTCTCCTTTTACTTTCCGTTCACCCGGCGAATTCACATAAGGGACTGATCATCCCAGAATTTGGAACCAAGTCATCTTCCCTCACTGGAGAGAGGTGGCGCTCCAGAGACACCATATGGGCATACGGCCTTGACCTAATGAATCAAGGAAGTCCCCCACTAAGCACAGGGTATACTTGCGATATGATACACCACTGTCTGTCTAAAGTAGGGAAACCTTTTGCAAAATGCCATCAGCTGCTGAGGTGCTAGGAATTTGCCTTGTTATGGCGGCAGTGCTGTGCGTGTCTTTCCTTTAGCTACAATTGGCATGCCATGCTGCTCTTAAGCACTCAGACATGGGAACGATACCCCCCTCTCAGAATCCCATGCAGATTACCAAACATAGTGAATCTGTGAGTGATAAGAGCCTGTCACTCCAGGTCCCTGTCTCAGGTAAAATGGTTGATGACTTAGGGAGAGAGCACTCTGACAGTGAAAATGACAATGTAGCAAAAAAATGCAGCAAACAATGCAGCAAACAATGTAGCAATGCCTAGTCAGCTACCCCCCACATACCCGTGGAATGAACTTAGACGACCTCCAGACAATAACTCATGCGAGGTCATCCCATCTGCACCCAATGAGGATCCCCACATTTGTGGCAGTACTCGGACACCCCAAGCTCTCAGAGCAGCTGCTAGACCCCATGCCACCCACATGTTTGCTGTTAATGTCGAATTGTATGCAAAATTCAGGCCCTGGATTCCAATGCCTGTAAAAGGGTTTCTGCTAACTAAAGGTCGAGGATATGCTTGTGTCTTTCCAGAGAATGCAGGACAGCCCATTTGGGTACCAGCCAGAAACATCAAGCCTGCAACTGACAGTCAACCAGAATCAGCTGAACAAGACTGAGAGTCTGCCTTGTTAGCAGACGCACCTGCCCTATCATCCGACCCTGAGAAACTGCCCATAGTCACATCTGTTACTGTTTTATACCCCACTAGCTCTGGTTGGCCACTGAAACAGCCCACAGCCTGTGTGTGGTCATGCCATTCCTGATAACCATTATTCCTCATTCCTACCCCTATCTGAGCAAGCACTCCTGTGGTCTCTCGATTTGAGTGCTGGTTAGTCAACGACGGGTAAGATCCCCTTGGGGACAACCTAAGACAGGCACAGCTGCGTACGGAGACCACATGGAAACGGGGTCAACAATGGTATGGCCAAGAATCATGCCTCCCACTGCTCAAAAATCAACGAAAATGGGGAAATGTGGTGGAATGAGAAGGCCATGTCAAGATGGCCACTGGCAAGCGAGTGTCAGTTACTCAGGAATGGCTTTGAAACCCACCTGGCAATGGAGCCTGCCTGGCAACAGGCTGTGATTGGATGGCTTTGGAAACTGCCTGGCAACAGGCTGTGATTGGTTGGGGCATAGACCGCCCCTTGACCGGATTGGCTGGTCTTGGCTATGTAAGATATTGTACCAACTGAAATAAATGAGTTTGCGGGCTGCTTGCCTCAAGCCTGCTTTCACCGGACTCCCGGGGTCTGTGTGGTGACTCTGTGCCTCTTGCCCCCACCACGCTCATTCTCTCAGAAATGAATCTACTGCAACATTGTTGAGAAATCAACTGCAACAGTGAAGTATGAAGAACTCTGCTTTGGTGACCTCATTACATGGCTAGCTGCTTCTCAGCAGGCAGAAAGAAACACTGGGAGCTGCAAAACACCAGTGTTGACCTGTGTGTTGTGCTCGGCATGTGAGAGCCAGGGTGACATAACTCACCATGTGGGACCTGTTACCAGCCTTGTTCTGGGCTGCTTGCCAAGGTAAAGTTGTTACACGTGTTACCTCTAGTCAGGAAGGAAATTGGGGTACTAAGGGCAAAGTTATGTGTGTGATCTGTCGGAGTAATACCTGAAGAGGATGACTAAAATTTGCATGTTTATATATTTCTGAATTTCTCTGATAATTGTTTACTAAGGATTTAAATTTTTTTTAAAATGTTCTATTCAAATAAAATTTAAATTTTGATGATCTATAAATCAGTATATCATGTTCAATTTTCAGGAGTTGGTATCTATGATCTCTTTCTAGTTTTCCAGGCAGTAACATAGTACACAAGGTTCGTTTGTTGGTCTTTGACTACCACAGCTAGCAGGAAAGAGGCTTTTGCAAAGTGGTCTGTGAATCTATTTTTTCCAGAAAAACTAGAGCTTATTATGAAAGCATTCACAGTTCCAACAACTAAGTGTTCAGTTAGAGATACTTAGATATCTTAGTGCATTATGTAGAAATTTAAAATGTTATTGGACATTTATGATAATCATAAGTATTTATAAAATATATTCTTTACAGATTGTAAATGTTGCTATTACTATTTTCAAATACCAGTGTAGTAGAATTAGGGAAGCTCATTTTATCAAAAGTTGCTTAAAGTGCTTGTATTTCTTTTAATCACAAAAATCTTCTTTCAAGGCAGGCATTGTGGCACAGAAGGTTCATTCTTCCTTGGGGTATTTGCATCCTATATTGGTACGCAGAGTACTGGCTGCCCAGCTTCCAATCCACCTTCCTGCCAATGCATCCTGGAAAGCAGCAGATGATGGCTCACATGTTGGAGCCTCTTCCACTTACATAGGAGACCCAGATGGAGTTTCAGGATCCTGGCTTTTGCTTGACCCTGGTGGATGCAAATGTTAGAGAGCAAACTAGTGGATGAAAAAGTGCTCTCTCTCTCTCTTTCTCTCTCTCTCTCTCTCTCTTGCTCTCTTTCAAGTAGATGAAAATAAAGGGGCTAGTGCCACGGCTCACTTGGCTAATCCTCCTCCTGCAGCGCCAGCACCCCAGATTCTAGTCCCAGTTGGGGTGCCGGATTCTGTCCCGGTTGCTCCTCTTCCAGTCCAGCTCTCTGCTGTGGCCCGGGAAGGCAGTGGAGGATGGCCCAGGTCCTTGGGCCCTGCACTTGCATGGGAGACCAGGAGGAAGCACCTGGCTCCTGGCTTCAGATCAGTGCAGCGTGCCGGCCACAGTGCGCCGGCCATAGTGGCCACTTGGGGGATGAACCAACAGAAGGAAGACCTTTCTCTCTGTCTCTCTCTCTCTCACTGTCTAACTCTACCTGTCAAAAAAATAAATAAATAAATAAAATAAAATAAAAAATAAAAAGAAAGGAAAGGAAACAGTTTTAAAACAGACAAAAACATTAAAAAGGTGCTCTAAATGTCATTCTTTTTTTTTTAATTATTTCTTTATTTATTAGAGAGGCAGAGTTACAGCGAAAGAGAGAGACAGAAATGTCTTCCTTATGCTGCTCTACTTCCCAAATGGCCACCACAGCCGGAGTTGAGCAGATCTGAGGCCAGGAGCCAGGAGCTTCTTCCGAGTCTCCAATGCAGGTGCAGGAGCCCAAGCATTTGGGTCATTTTTCAATGCTTTCCCAGGTCATAAGCAGAGAGTTGAATTGGAAAAGGAGCAACCAGGACACAAACCAGCGCCTATATGGAATCCTGGTGCCGTAGGCCAAGGCTTAGTCTGCTATGCCACAGCATTGGTCCCATAAATGCTCATTCTTAATTACATGAGTGCAGAGTAGTTTCTGATACTTTTGGTTTTTATTTTCATCTTTCCTAGGGATTGCCAATATATACCTAAATTAAACCTGTTTCAATGATTGCTTTTAACAAATTTTAAAATTGCTTTAACTGTATCTTTAATGCTCAATTGCTTTAATATTAAATTATTCTAGTTTGTATACTACTTTATGTACCTTATGTAACCAATTAACTGAAAGACCTGTGTTAGGAAAATAAAAAAAAAAAAAAAACACGCAAGTCCAAAACAGTAAATTTTGAAAAAAAAAAAAAGACTAACATCATAAACCGTTGGTATAAGGTGAGAAAGTTGTATAACGGAAACTGACCTGGAAGCCAGATAAAAACTTTGAATGACACCTATGCTAGAAAGACACATCTTTCATTTCACATACAAAATCATATTTGGAATTACACAGCAGAGCTTATTTTTGTCAGTGTATCATATTGCACAGAAACTGTTTTCAACCCAATTTTCATTGCTGCTTTCACTCTTTTTGGCATTCTTTTCATATTCATCAGTGCACATACTCCAAAGAATCTGCTTAAACTCTGGGCTCATCTACAATTCTGTTACTTGAAATAAAGTGGAAAAAAAAGCATAGCAGAAGGAGTCTGTGTTTACTGTTTAAACTGTGTCTTAAAGTACACCCAAGAGCTAGTTGTTACATATTATAATAGACAGCTTTTGCTTCAGAGGCTGATTGCTTTTATTGATTAACACTACAGTTGATTTACTAGCTTTTGCCTGCCTAGAGAATGCCCAATTCTTTCAGGAATAAGGTGAAGCTTGTTGGAAAACACTTGCCAAGCTGTGTCCACTAGAGCATAGCAGAAAGGAAGGGAACTGCTTCTCTTCTAGCTGAATAAAATGAATGAGTGGTTGGATGAACAAATAAGGATTTCTACTCGAAATCCTGAATACAAGTGAAAGTTTAAACACTGCATAATTACAAAAGAAAAACAGTGATGTGATGCTTATAGAATCCATAATAATTTTAGTGTTTAAGATAGACTGGGAAAATGATCATGTAGGGAAATTGAAGTTATTTTGTCTTTTTTCATGCTGGCAAATTTGCACTTTCTATTGATTTTTCCCCCTAAGTTCTTACTTATATTTCAGGCTACATATTTAGAAAAATCCATGTATAAAAATGATGGCTTTCAACAAAGCCTGTGTTGTTCTAATGATTAAATCAAATTTTCAGCTATGTAATTACTATAAAAGAAAGTATGTATGTATATATATATATATCTTTTCAAAATAATTTATAGATGGATATGTGTTGCTTGAAACATATTAGTATGATTGGCACAAAGTTGTAATGGCAGTAAGAATCATGGACAAAACTCTTGATATCATATAGCACTACTTTCAGCTAAACCAGGAATCTTTTTAAGTGGTACCATAGTAACATCAGCACCTCAGTGCACCACTAGACAGTGAATCTCAAAGTACACATTTGTCAAATTCTGTGTCTTCTGTAAGGTGATGATTGCCTATTATTTTACATCTAGGACAAATGCAATTTGTGAAAAATAATTGAAAGAATCACTACAATGACAACAATTAAGTTTCCAAGGAAAAAGTAATAAAAGCGAAACTTTCAATGTGCTTCATCAGATAAAATCACAAACTGCACTTGCAATGATGGGAATGAGCATGGTCATTGAACTAAAATATTTTGATATATGAGCTCTTCTAAAAAAGTTTTATTTATTTATTTATTTGTTTGTTTGTTTAAAATGCAGGGTGATAAACACAGAGATAGAGAAAGAGGTCTTCCAGTTCTTGGTTCATTTCCCCAAATAATCACAATGGCTGGTTGAGCCAGGCTAAAGCCAAGAGCTCAAGACTTCCATCCAAGTTTCCATGCAGGTTCTGGGGAATCAAATACTTGAACCATCACCTTCTGCCTCCCAGCGTGGGCATTAGAAAGATGCTAAATCAGAAACAGAGCCAGGACTCAAACTCTGATATGGAATGTGGACATGCCAAACCAAAACTTAACTGCTCTGCCACAATGCCTGCTACTAAAATAAGAGCCTTTTGTTAAAGAGTTATCAAAGAAGGAAGCCAGATATCAGTGTATGCCACTTTAATATTTAAATGTAATGTTTAATTGTTTGGGAGAAAAGCACAAAGACCAGTTTTTATGTCCAATAATGTCTAGAATAAATTTATAAGTGAAATGCAATACCATGAATCATACAGACAAGTCAGAAAATTTCCACTTCCAGCTATATTAAAGTAGTCTGTAGGGTCAAAAATCTCGATAAAATTCAAGTGGTCAGAGGAACTGAAATTCCAAAAATAAGGAGAAGACAAAATTAGATAAACTTCATCTTTTTGCTGCTTTTCCCTAGAGGCATCTGTTGTATCATAAATGGCACAGGTACAGATGTGAAAGAGGTGAGTGAAGGCTGTAATTAAGAAGTTGAAAAGGAAAATAGAATTTTGTGCATTCAAAGCTGCAAATGTTTCTGGAGCATGAAGACAGTCGAAAAATCTCAGAAAAACTGAAATGCAAATGAGCCCCACATTTTGCAGCATTTCCCTCCTTTCAGATTATTTTTATTCTTTCAACACAGCAGTAAGAATGGCTGATGACTGACCAAAATCATTGGCAAAGAATGTCAGAAACTAAACAAGACTGTTGGCAGGTTGCCATGGAATCATTGTCCACCAAAGATGTAGGATTCCTGGAAAGCACAGAAGGGTCTTACTACAGGCTCTGAAAGAAGACACAGTAAAGGAAGCCCAACATAGAAATCAGCCAATGAAATTAAAATATAATATGCTTTAGAATCACCTGGAGCCAAGACTAGTTGCAACGATTTGACTGTCCCATCTTTACTGGCTTCCTAAATCAGAATTTATACTCTGGCAAGGAAGGACATTATTCAGAAATGCCTCAGTTTGTGTGTGTGCATTTAATAAAAAAATAGAATCATCTCAGGAAAAAAGATCCAGAGAGCATCCTTCAAAAAGAAGAAAAGGTTTCCTGAATGACAAAGATATCAGTATTATGAAATATTGTGCTTAATCAGCAATGACAAGGTCAAAAGACAACGAAAACAAGCAAAATGTCAGCAATGAATTGAACTTTACAAAAAGGAGAAATGGTACTTCTGAAATGAAAAATATAGCATGTGAAATGACAAGTGCAATAGATGGGCTTATTAGTTATATTAGATACAATGTAAAGAATATTTGAAAAGAATGGTATATTAAT